CTGAAGATGGAGGGAAGGGTTGGATGGTGAGAGCAGGGCAGAGGAACGGGGGAATGGGTTTCTTACCTGATTTGGGGACTTAGAAATAAGTCCTTGCTGTGGCTCTCATGCTATGGTTTGCTTACCTGGAAAGCTGAAAACAGGGATGCAGCCACCCCTGCAGTACTGGTCACTGCTCCCACACCCTCCTTCACAAAATCCTGGATCTGCCCATGGGTGCATCCTACATCCTCCCTCTTATACTTTCCTCCTTAAACTTGTGTCACTATGGTTAAAAACAGATGTTGGATTTCTTCCCAGACAAAGCTTTTATCCTGGGATCCTGCAAACCTATTTTTCCACTTGAGTTCTTGTGAAGTGTCCAAGATGACACTTTTCCCTTGGACAATAGCTGCTAATTTGAGTTAATTGCTATTCATTCCAGGGACAAGCTGCATGTTTAAAGGGATATGCTGCTTGTAGATTTGCTCTCAGATCAATCAGAAACAACTCAAATGTGATGTTTGATGTTGGTTTTTACCCTATGCAGACAGGGACACAAGATTCACAGGGTCAGGATGAGTGCTTGAATGAGGGAGCCTGATTCTGTAGGCCAAAGTTCTGGGAGTTTCCTTAGAAGTGGGGTCCTTGGTTCCGAGTTCCTCTCTTCCAACACTTGATTACTGTTTGCAGCTAATGAGTGTTTAGTATATGATACATGAGCCCTAAGAACATAGATTACAATCCAGGACTCCAACAGGTTATGTCTCAGCTACTATGTTACAGGCCACATGGTGTGCTGATGTTGTGGTATAGGCCAGCAAGAATACAATATATTTGGGCCTAAAGGATTAAGGCTTTGTAGCCAGTGGTTTGTAAATTCTGATCTCTGCACTCATGTTTTTAGGTGAACATCTTTTTAGATTGAAAGCAAAATCAGCTCAGCCTCTAACCTGTTGGTTATGACTTTCCTGAGAGGTGGGAGTATAGGTTTCAATCTCCTGAAAGCACTTCATCCAGAAGTGTCAGGCAGAATTATGTTTACTGTCCTCTACCCTTCACTTTCTAATGTCCCTAAAAATACTGACAGAATTAGATTAATCCCTCTTGTTCACAGATGATGATGCATGCATGAAGCAAAGAGAACTTAAAAATCAAACATGCAAATGGTCCTTTCTAGATATAAAAACAGGGAAACAGTCCATTCACAAAGATGTAGAGCTGACATTTTTTATTTTAGTCCACATGAAGTTGGATGGAGGCTTCTTTCAGATCACTATTGAATACAGAATTTGGCTTTCAATTGAAATTAAATATCTAGTAACTGGGACTAAGTCACAGGAAAGCCCAAATATTCCTTTATAAACTTAGTTCTTGATAAACTCTTTTTGTGGTCGATATGAGCCAAATTAAGAAAAAAATGCAATGGATACATTTGGAAAAAAAAGGACAAAAGCTTACTTTTGCACAGAAGGTCCAACAATAGTTCTTGGGTGTATTCCAGATTATAGTCTCATGCCAAGAGCTTGAAGCACAACGCAAAGATCCAGGCTATCCATACCTCTTCACCAAGCAGTCCTTTGCCTCTCTTCACCAAGCAGTCCATTTTCTAATGATTTATTAAAACAATGCATTGCTGTTGGCTTTCATTGCAGCTTTCATCTTAGATGTTTTGGATCTACCACACAAAAAAATCTGAACTGCTTGTGGTGCTCCTTAAGTTTTCAAATATTTCTTCATGTGACTGGATGGCCATCTCCAAAATACAACAGAAAAGGTTGGCTATACAGTTGGGGTTTTTTTGGATTATGTAATGGTTCATTCCTGCTTCATAATGAAGGAGTCTCTTCTTAATTTCTGCTTTCAGTTGTTTTTCCTATGAGAAACTCTCTTTGCTTTCCAGCTCATCATCCATTACCTAAGAATGAATCAGGATGGGTGCCTATACATGTACGTTGAGGCTCTGCCGCCGTGTTGTAATTATGAGTCTAAGCAGACTTGATTAATCGAGTCTTCTAGAGCATGGTAATTACTGAGCTCCAGCAGACTCCAGCATCATGTGTGTCAGTGTCACTGCACTGAAAAATGGTGCATTTTAATCCAGCCCATGGCATCTTTCAGTATGAGATTCAAATAAGTGCATTGTATGGGACAAAAACACTCTCTTGTTAATGGCCTGAATTATCTTTTTAATCCCACTGTTTGCCTTTCAGGTTTGCCCCATTTTCAGGTTTGCCCCATTTTCATGGACCTCTCAGATGACTGACTTAGATTCCCAAGTCTTTTAACACTCATGGGAATTTTTTATCCTTTTAGTCCCAGTAGAATATCACATTAAAAAAAAAGCAACAGTGTTGTTTGCTTCTAGCACAGCCTTCTCTTGCCTCTCGTGCTACCTTGGAGAAAAGAAATCTTAGCGTTTCTTTGCACAACCTCAGCATTCACAAGCAATTGCAAATTCTGCTATTGATTCCTCTAGCAGGGAGTTTCAGAGGATCCATGCTCACAATTTGCTTCTTTGATTCGGCCATATTCTTTGAATGACTATGTAGTTGAATCAAGCTATTACTGGTGGAGATGGCATATTCTTCCTTTACTCTTTTAGACCCACCAGAACTATAATTAAAAAAAACAACTTTATTTGTTAAGAAAGTTACTTTCAGAATTAGGAACCCTGATGCTTCTGTGGGATGAACATTCGTGGTGCATTATGTGGAAGTAAAACAGTTGCTTTCAGAAATCTGAAAGGTGCCTGACTTGGTTTCACATCATTATCCCCTGTTCCAGACTTGCTTTCTTGATATTCAGCTCCAGAAACATGTTTGCCTTTTTGTAAAAGATTGTCACTATGGTTTTCAGGTTTTGGCCATGGCATTTTACACTAGCACTGAAGACTACTACCTGACTATTTGTATATACAAATACAAATTTAGTTGGGAATTTCTAAGTTACCATTTACAAACTGACTCATCAAGATGGGAAACATTGCATGGGCAAGTTTCATAACATTTTCACTTGTAACTGAACACAGTTATTCGCAGTTAATACTAAATGTTTTATATTTCATATTTTTGCCAGCTTTTGGTTTTTATGAAGGTAGCCACCCCTCGACTTTGCTTTTACTTAGTGTAAGATAACTTCTCTTAAGTTAGTCTCTGTTTTGTAACTACATTTCTAGAACACTGGAAGATGGATGCCCCTGGGGGCCTCTTGACCTGCAGGGACTCTACTCTGATGTGCTGTAATGACTAATCAGCGCACTCCAGCAGCCTCTGTATCTCATATATTCAGTGTCCCCATCCTTCAAAATGGTGGCGGGGTGGTTTAACCTAAAGCTTGTCTGTTTTTAAGTCAGTGTTAATGGTCATAGCTAAAACTAAAGGAGTCAAATTTTATTTGGATAAAGGCAGCTACCACCTCTCATCAGTGTTTACCATCATGCTGAACCTGCACAAACACAAATAAATGCTCCAGTAAGTAGAGAAGTTTGAACTACACCCTTTTTTATTGCAAAACATTTGTTACAGAAATTTCAGAAAGTTCTACTGCAGTATCTGCCAACTTCTGCTTTTTATTACATATCTAAACACGGTCTAAAAGTGCATTGTGAATCCAGTAAACCTTTAAAAAGGACCCTTTTCCTAGTAATGTAATATTTAAACAAATCAAACATCAAAACCTTCATATTTATAGGAATTCATTTAAAATGACATGTTTATTGTTTTATATTTCCCTCCCTTTATAAACTATTGGTATAACATTTATAAATGAGAACCCAAATTATATATTATTAAATAGCGATTAGTATAGTATATTTTAAACACTGTTCCAGACAGCAGTAGCAGCATATAGACTCTCCCTATGTAAGACAACTGCAATGGTGGAAGGAGGACATGACTTTAATACTGTTTATTCCTGTGCACACATCATATTTCATAGCCATTCCACCGCGACAACTGTAAAATACTAAAAATAAACAAAAGTTACTCTTCTGCAGCAGCAACAACAGCAGCAATATCATAATCCGGCATTTTCCCCAAAAGCCTTTTGAAATGAGAATGTAATGTGGATCCAATGTGAGTCTGAGAAAGGAATCTCAACATGCCAAAATGAAAGAGCAAGAACTAATCAGGTTCCCCAGCCAATCTGAACTAATTTTATCCTAGCCCAGTGGCTACTTTAGTGGACTGTCTACTTGATCCTGGAAACCCTGGTTTAGGATAACATGTGCAATGCAGTAGAGTTAATACAGGGCCAATTTTTACTCTGTTATTCTGGTGTAAATTCAGATTAACTTTACTGAAGTCACTGGAATTTCTTCAGATTCACACCACCACAACTAAAATCATAATCTAACCAACAGTCAATCCTAGAAAGAGGAAGCATGGTGAAGAGTACATGGGTCTGCACCATGCCTGTATCTTTGCCTATAACACAGCATTACAGTTACCAAATGGCAAAAGCTCTTTCAAAATCCAGGGCCAGCATGGGGATGTATTTGTTGATGCACCAGAGAGGAGAGAACAGTACATTCCCAGGGCGAGCAATGAAGGGAGACATCAGGTAAACAGACATCCCAACACAGCTCCTTAACTTCTGACTTTCCTCTTCATTTGGATTGTGATTTCAGTTACAAGAGATGTATGAGGGAGAAAGCATGATAGGAAAAACATTGTTTCCTTAGAAAAACAGGAACTAATTTTTTCTGTCCTTCAACAAATTTACATTAATGTGATTCATATTCTTCTGCTGTGTCAGACAGGATTATTTGTGCAAAAGTGCAATGTTATTGTTATCTTTTCTCTTTCTCACTTTTTGTTTAAGTAGGGGGAGAAATTAATTAACCTCACAACCACTTCATCACAACAAGCCCTACTGAAATCCAAAATGACCATATCACATTGCCTGTATTCTCCACTTACTGAGTCCATTTAAAGCATAACCTGAGCAAATGTATCAAAACTCTTCTTTTTATTTTTAATGCTTGCACTAACTGCTTGAAGAGAGACTTTTTTCCCCAAAAGACTTACTCAATGGTCATAAATTCACTAACATTTGCTTTCAAGAGAGGGATGCCCTTGTCATTCCAACTGCAGGGATTAGAATAAGGCCCTATGCTGTGAACAGCACTCATTATATTGTGTAAGCAGTTGTTTGCAAAGTTAAATTTTCTACTTTTGCATTTTTCATGCGCTGAACAACTTCTAAGAAACAAATCATTTTCTTCTTTTACAAAAATTACATATTTTAAGACAAAAACACCCTTCCAGAGACAAAGATCCATTTTCACCAAAATTATTTAAATAACAATATATAACTAGAGTGGAGAGCAGTTTTGCCACATGAATTAATGGGCATTTTCTTAGTGTTTTTTCTGTTTTAACAATTTAGATCTTCTTGTCATTACTTATTACACAACTGTGCTAAATGCAGGAATGAAGCACCTTTCCCGTTCCAAAACAGAGAGCTAAATGTCTCAGGACTGCTAAAGGTTCACACCTTGGAGTTTAATACTTCATTTTTTCATGAAATCATTATCTCTATTTAAAAAAAAAATTAGAAATAAGTTTTGTTTGCTTAAAGATTGGACATAATGGAAAATAATGTAAAAGTTCAAAAACTTGAATTAATTCCTAACTGGATTCATCATTACAGGCAGGCAATAGTAAAATGTTAAGCCTCATAGTAGTCCAAAGAAATTCATGGAACAATGCATGCATTTTCATTGCCACAAAAAAAGACTGGACTTTAAGAAAGAGAAACTACTTCAGTCATATCACATTGGTATTGTGAAAGCATAATGTGCTAAAATCCAATAACTAGGACAAGTGTATACCCAACCTCAGAATAGCATCACTTAAACTAGAAACAACAGAATGGATTACTATAGGAAAATATTTATAAAATACTGTACACTGCTTCCTTAGTTGGCCAGCATATGTAAACAAACAACAAATTCAATTTAGTTTCAAAATATTATTTAAAGTTCATGTATCTTATAATCTTTTGCATAACATGCCAGTTCATCTTTCACGCTATCACAACTCACCTATCACAGCTCATAGTGGCTCATTAAAGAATTATACATCAGCTCATACAGACATTTACAGTGGAGCTATACAGAAGAATGTGCGAAACATACAGCAGTTACGGATTGTGACCAAAAATGCATATTCCATATGTATGCTAACACCTTGAAAAGTGGAATTTAATGTTCAATGCAACATGTGCTATTTTATTGAATGTTACAGATTTATAAACACATGACTTCATAATGTGATGTTAAAGCTCTCCTGTAATGTTCACTAACATGATCACATGTCACAACCATACTGGATTATACATGGGATATATATATATATATATAGATGTTATAATATATCATTCAATACATAGTATATCATATGGCACATGCTATAGTTATAAAATGATGGATGGTAAGATTTTTATCTCCACTAAGGAATTTAAAACAAACTACCATTCACTACTGAGGCAGGGAGTGAAATCCTGGTCCCACTGACGCCAATGGGAATTTTATCATTGCCTTAAAATAGGCAGCATTTCATGTAGTGTGTAAGTAAATAACTAGTGAAGATAAACAAAATATTCTAACATCCATCATAATATGTTCTATAGATACCACATTTTTAGAGTAAATGGGAGACATTCAGGAAAAGTTGTGTTCTGACATTTTGTGATCACACCTTTTTATATCTTAATTTACATTTTATATATAATGGAGATTTTTAAAAGAGGTAAATAAAGCTTCCTGCTTCACTATGCCTGGAATTTATACTCCAGGTTAATAAAGTGCTGTATTCTAATTATTTATACAGCTTTTGGGTTTGGGAAACCCCTCCACCCTGACAATCTAACAGTGAATCAGCCAGAGGAGATCTCTGCTCCTTAAACTAATTCAGCATTGAGTTTCTCTAGTACGTGCCAAGGATACTGATGAAGGTGGAAAAGTCTATGAATAGTTTCAGAAAACATTCTTAAATAATAGTAATAAGAGTAATAATAATAATAATAATAATAATAAAACAAGCAAAAAATAATGTAGAGAAACCATAGGAAAAGACTGTTAACAAAAGTTGGCACATTTGAAGCAGATTTTTAAACAAAAGTTGCTTTGTCCCTGGGCTTTGTGCTATTTTTTAATTAGCCCATCACAAGAGTGCTTTGTAATTCACTTAGAGATGGGTCAGAAACTTTACCCTTTCTTGGTCACATCATGAAACATTAAAGCTGTGCATAGACTGCAAGGGAATCAAGTAAACATGGTATCTGGATGGAGCTGAGCCTAGCTCACTGAAGGCCTAATGGAACAAGCTATGGAAAGGAAATAGTTGATGCAATAACACTATACTTTGTATTTTAAGTTACCATGCTGCATTTTTTTATTTCACCGACTTTTCACAAAGTGAACAGCGTTTTCACGGTTTTTGCCCCTACTCTTTAGATAGCCATTTTATTTTTTAGGCAGGGTTCTGTTGTTCTTGAGAGTTGTTTGCTTACCATACAGAGCTCAGAGTCCTCTGGAGTGACACTCTAAGTATCAAATTTAGGACAAAATTTCCAAAGCTGCTTCAGAGAGTGGGATGGCCAATTTCCACTAAAATGAATGGGAAAGGGTTGTCCCACCAAAAAATCCAGAGGCAGCCTCGAAAATCCTACTTATATTGATATTAATATCATTAGAAAAGGGGCCTGAATCCATATGCATGGTGGTTACTTTTAGAGACTGTTGTATTTCAAACTAATGTTCATGGTATTAATTTAAATTGGTTTCACTTTTAACCTTTCCTGCTCACAAGTGATGTAAAACTATGATAAAATCATTATTTTCATGGACTGTCATATGGCAAGAAATGTCTTTCCTTCATTAGCTCTGTTTACAAAGGATGATCCTTATTGTTACTATGGACTGATTGATACTATCCTTATTGGTACTACTACTCCTTATTGATACTATGGACCACATTTTGCAACTGAATTCATAGGTGGAGTTACCACTGAAGGTGTTGTTAGACATTTCCTTTACCACATGTTAAATGCTTTTAAGATGGAAGTGTCCACAAGTTAAGGCAGGAAAAGAAGAGCTAAGTGTCCTCACAATAGCTCAAAGTTATGCTTCTTTGGGTGAGGAGTATCTCCAGCTGGCATTAGGCAGCCCATGTTTTGGTAATGTCAGTTTGCTTCATGGGGCCAATACCAGCAATTTGAAGTTCTCCAGTATCCCAGGATGCACCACGTTCAGCCCCTTCCATATGGATGATCTGTCTGTCAGAACTCTACTGTCCTGGACTGACAAAGCCGTGGAGAGTTATGGATGAGTGGGGAGCCTTGGGGGAGAGGGGAAGGGGGTTGAGCAAGGATCTTCTATGATCTTCATGGGGGTGGGGGAGGAAAGTGAGCAGGAAACCACTGGAGAGTTGGAGAGTCAGGCAGCCATAAGGCAGACTTGGCAATTCCTAGCCATGCCCCTGCTCACCAGCCCTCTAGCAGCAAGCCAGAGCTGTGCACATTAGAGGGTATTAACCCTTAAGTTCAACTACTTATAGTGTGTGCTAACTTTAATACTGCCTAACATTCCTTAGAATTAGCATGTGCGAACTGTAATGTGTAACAACACCCTGAGGTCCAGCGGGGTCCTATATGCATTCTGAAGCAATGCTTTTTTCCTATCAAAATGTACATTGCTTTTGTTGTAGCTTTGTGTATAATGGAAGCATACTTGCAAGTGATGGCTTTTGCTGCTAGCAAATACCTCTGTTTTCATCTTGTTGCTTTAGCTTACCTCCACCGTCTTTTTTTAATGTTTGGAAATACTCTGCCAGGAACATTTCCCATTAAATAACTTCAGTCAAATTGCGTTAATCTGAGATCAGACCGCTTGATAAGCTTTGTATATTTCGAAATGGTCAAATAAAACCGGATAGTAATAAACAAACACGATGTGTTTGAATGGGGGAATGATGTGAAAAATTGGCAGCTTGATGATGGAACAGCAAGAAAAACATGGTATCAACTCAGGAAAAAGCTATTCACAGAAATAAAAAAATGGAAATGTATGGAACAGTACTTCAGCAGCACGTTATTCTTATTGTTCCATGGCAACTTTTAATTTAGTGAAACAATGTATTGATGACAAGTTAGTTAAAAAAATAAATATATACTATTCCACTTTTTACATTCATCCTGAGCTTGCTCAAGTGTGCTAGAATGCCTGCTTAATACAGGAAATCACCTAGCAATTTTTTTTTTTACATAAATTCTTCCTTCATTTATGTTGCAATAAAAAAGGCATTTCTTTTCCCTTTCTTTTCTTGAAAATATAAACATTTTGTGGCACTAGCAGTTAATACAAAAAGATACAGGTGAAGTATGATTATTAACTTTGCTGTTTGTCTTTATGATGATCAGTTTTAGAAGTGTAGTGATATAGGGACTGGGGAGATTCTAAGGTTTACTTGCTGCTGGTTCCTACAAAAATACTGGTGCTTTTCATCTGTCATCACAACAGTGAAACAGATGTAAAAGAAATCAGAACTTCAATTTAGAATGCATCATTTGTATGTTTTCTTTTTTGTCGATTTCTCCCTGTGTCCTAGAAACTCAGAAATAATCATCAGGCATCCTGGGATGCCTTTTAGTAAAAGGCAGATTTCCGAACAGATTTACTAATTACTGATGACTTCATGAAGTGGTTTTTTTAAAAAAGTCTTATAAAACTTTCTTCCCTCCCTTTTTTCCTTAAGTGCAAATGTCAACTCAGTCAAGATCCAGTAAGCCAGTGTGTGACACTGAGATTAACAAAGTGCTAGGCTGACTGACAGCAGAGACTGACATTAGTTGACAAATCACGATGTGAGGTTATTTAAATCTGCTAAAGAAAATGGACTGGAGAGCAGATGACCCTTAGACTTCCTGCTGCACATGCCTATGTTTAGCTGTGCTTAGTCTCAAAACTACGGAAAGCGCCTGTTCTGGACAGTCTTCTCATAGACAGGGTGTCCCCTCTACTTTCTGGCCTGGATGATTTACTCCTCTGGAATGGATTTCTCAAGGCTGTTGTGTTACGCTGCCTATCGAGTTTATCACTGATGGAGTAGCTCTTCCTTGTGTGTGCATACAGCATGTTGGACTCATCTGCAGAGTAGCTGTTGGCTCGCTCTATTTTTGGAAGCGGTATGCTGTTGGTTAGAGTTCTTGCAGTGTTGCTATCCTGAGGAGATAAGGCACTCCCCTTCTTGTCTTTGACCTCAGTCTCCTCATTATCTGAACTTGGATGACTTAGCTCTGCTTCTCTCTCCGGGTGGCAGCATCCTAAGTCGTCCACTTTGCCTCCATGACTTCCAGGGAAACTGGACCTTTCTGCTATGGCCTGGGGAGCGCTGACACATCTGGTGTCTATGCAGTCTGTAATACTTGTATACTCTGCTGTTTTGACTGGCACCCCGAGGCTGCTGAAATAGCTCCGAGAAGGAGAGAACATAAAACTATGCGATTTCACAATTGGGGTTTCCTCTAGAATAAATGGGGTTGTAGCCAGGTAACGACTGCTTTTAGATCGCTCTAAGGTATGATATAAAGGAGGGTCAGAGTCCCAGGGGTTTTGGCTATCTGTGATGTGTGAATAATCTGCAGAAAATGCTCTTGTTTCCATTGTAGCGGTTTCCTCATAATCAATACTTCTGCCAGAAATTCTGTCACCAGGTGTACTGCTAACATATGCACTGTTTGCCAGAATGGAGGAAGCTATTTGAGCTTGCAGAGCTGGGTCTCCAGTACCAAGAATATTTACTGAACTGTCAAGAGGTTCCAGACCAGATTGCAGTTCATCCATGGCAGAAACATAAATGTCTATGCAAGATGAAGGCCTTCTGGAGTCTGGGGCAATAGACAAAGTGCTTGTAGGGATCAAAGGTATCTTTGCTTCTTTTGATACAGACTGCGAGCTACTAGCTCGATGCAGGCTCGCAGACCTTTCTTTAAACATACTTTCCAATCTGTCTAACCCACATTTGTCTTTCAGATTCACCGCATAGAAAGAGTGGCTTCGCATGCGGGGAACAGCAGTAGGAGAGGTCGGAGACATTGACTCCTCTCCTGCAGCGTCTATACTTTCTGGAAGCTTGTAAGTGTTCCCTTCCTGGCTATTGAAGCTGCTCTGTCTCACAATGTAAGCAGCATCTGTACAGTCTGAGGAAGTTCTAGATCGTGCTTTGGTAGTCTCCCCTCTCTCCATACCGGTCAGCTTCTCCAGGGCTGTAGCCATTCGTCCTATCATATCCTCCAACTGAGCAAGTCTGATGTCTACAGTCTGAAGTGAAGCTTTCATACAGTGTTCTCGCTCATTTACTTCCTCCAACCTCATGGCCATATTCTCTACCCTTCAAGAGAAGAAGAATGCATAGGTTATTATCTATCAGACAGGTGGATGCTGTGATGTATTGTCTATATGCTAGGTAGCCCAAGTATATGGGAACGAATACATTTTAAAAACGGTAGGCTAGATCCTTCTATTCCATTCCATTCTGACTGATATCACTTTACCTCCTGCAGACATGGTTAAAATGGATGAAGTGGGCACCCTATTATTTCTCCTACATAGCACGTTTCTTTAGAAGTGTTGAATCAACAGAAGTTGTCCTGAATCATCTGTGCATTGACTCTGACATAGGGAACATGCTAGGTAATTTAGGCCTGTGTGAAGAGGCTAGTATTCGCTTCAGATTCAGTCAATTCGGGCGATGGTGATTCAATTCAGTGATTCGAATCACCATCCCAATTTGATTCAGCCAAATCTGATTCAGAGATTCAGCTGCTGCTAAATCTCCAAATCTCCAAATCAGCCAGGCCCATTCCCTCCCTGCTCTCCCAGCCTGGCAATGGCTGCCCTGTCTGCCCCAGCTCCCCGCACTTGTTAAAAAAAAAGCCCTAATGCGGCCTTGGGGCTTCAGGAGATCGTGCAGAGCCTTCAAGTGGCATGGGGCAATAGGAGTCAGTGGTGATCGTCGAGCTGGTGAGTCCCGCGGTTTTTCTTGTTTTTTTTTTCTTAAATGGCTGGAGCTGGCCTGGGCGGGGCACCCATGGAGGGGCTGGGGGAGCAAGGTGGGGGGTTGGGAGGATCATGCAGAGCCCCCCATGCAGCGTGGGGCAGTGGGGATTGCCCCGCTGCCTGGCAGCACCTGGTGACCACTGGGGCTTTTCTTTAAAGTACCAAGCTGGGATTGGATTGTGGGAAGTGCTGGTCATACTTTTTGGAGTGGCTGGTAGGTGGGAGTGGTGAGAGAAGTTGCTTCTGAGGAAGGAAACCCCAGCTTGTGAGGACTGATCTGGCTCTGTACCTTGTTTCCCCTCCACTCTCCCGCCCCACTAGAACCCACTGTTGGACCTGTTTATGCCCTGCAACCTGGCTATCTGGCATGTGCTCTGCAGCCTGTTTGCAGGGGGTTGCAACCCTGGAGATG